CATCCCCCGCGGCGGCGTCCTCCGCGCGGCCGGCGGCCTGCGGTGGGCCGAGGACGGGGGCCGCACGGCCGGACGCGCCACCGCAGCGGCGAGCGCCGGGCCCAGGTCCTCGGGCCACGTGAGCCTCCGCGGCCTACAGGATTCCGGGCACGTCCTCCGTCCAACGCCGCCGTGTCCGCGCTCCACTGAGCCCAGCGCCGGGACGTAAGAAGCGCTGGCTCCCGCCCAGGTGAGGAACCGACGGGAAGCGGGTAGACGGACGCCCCACCCGGCGGGCGGGACCCGACACGGCTGACCCGCGCGCTCCCCGGGCCGCGCCTACTCCGGCGGAGCCGCGACGCCAGACGCAGTGACGCCACAGCCAGGACCCGAGCCGGTGACGTCAGGACGGCCGCAGTGGGCGGGGCCGGCCCAGCCCCACCCCAGCCCCACCCCAGCCCCACCCCCGGCGGCCGGGCGGCTCAGCGCGTGCTGTGGCCTCCGGCTCGGCCTCCCACTTGGGGTCCTCTTGCCCAAGCGGTAAGACCGAGGTTCCGCCGGCCCCTTATCCCGGACTTGGCAGCAATGGCTGCGTTTGCTGGGGAAATTGCCCTTATTCTGCCCTGAACGCGGGAGCGCGGAGAGCGTCCGGCCCCCGCTGTCGGAGGTTTTAGATCGCGAGGCCCGGTTGACGCCCCCTGGGGAAACCGGGCCGGGGTTGGTCAGGAACGCGGAGGCGGCACCAGGTTTGGCCTGCACTGGCCTGACTAGAACTGGGGGCGGCTCCTGGTCCCGGCGACGTACCAAGGCTAGCCTGCAGCACTAAGCTCTGCCCAGTCCCGGTGCCCAGGAGACCTGCGGAGACAGACGATGGAGCAGTTCAGCAGGATTGACACACTAAGCAGTCTGCAGTGTTGCAGCTAGGTCTCGCCGGCGCTTTCACCTAGCATCTTCCATGGTAAAGTTATCACACGTTGATCGGTGTGTCCCCTTGATTGCAGCTTCTTGAGTAACTCAGGGTCTTGGTGGTCTCCATCCCAGGGAAGTGTCCCTAACACAGGTTTGCCACGTTTACTTGGTTATAAAGACACTGTGGGAATATAATTAAACCAAAAATAGTGGGAATATTGGAAGTAAAAAATATAGTTTGCTCTCTTAACCACACTTACAAAATCTCTGGGTGTATTATTATTATTATTTTAAAGACTGTATTCATGAGAGAGAGAGGCAGAGACACAGGCAGGCCCCGTGAAGGGAGCCTGATGCGGGACTCGATCTCGGGACTCCAGGATCACGCCCTGGGCGGAAGGCAGGTGCTAAACCGTGAACGACCCAGGGATCCCCTCTGGCTGTATTATTAATAAAGTGAATGAGACCTCCATCTCATTAGGAGTTAAGGCGATAGTGGTAGAATTGCTAACATTTATACAGGGCTTGTTATTTGCCAGACACTGTTGCAGGCGCTGTGCAAGATAAGCACCTTTTATCTTCAGTGAAGTACATGCTATTAGTCCCATTTTCCAGATGAACTGTGGCATGGTGAGATTAATTTGCTCCAAGTCACATGGGCCAGGACCTGCCCTCTGAAGTGGTACTCTCCACACCTGGTGTAATGGGAAACGACTGAAAGTCCAAAGGCCTATTCAGGACCCATCTCCACTATTTACCAGTTGTGTGCTGTTTATAAAGTTACAACTGCTCAACTAAGTATAGCTGAGTCTCTGTTTCTTTACCTGAAAATTGAAGGTGCTACACCAGTTGTGTTGACCTCCTTGAATTGTTATGCACATCAAACACAATGTTTTTTAAAAATGGGAGCATTTTCAACACAATATGAAATATAACATGTTATATACTGTACTTGTTTCACAGTCTTGACTAAGTAGGCCAATTAGGAAATTAACTAAATTATGATCCAGACAACTGTAATATGTCCCTGAAGTAGAATTACCATTATATTTGAATTGTAATTAAAATTAACAATATTATTGCCAGATAGAATAATTCATTTAGTTCTGATAATGAACTACATTTGCAGGGTAGGTGTGATCATTTTGAAGCCTATCATGTAGATGAATTACCTCTGAAATTACCTCAGAGACACTACTACTTGTAAAAAAGGAGTTTCTCAAAAACAAAAAACTTTTGGGGCACCTGATTGACTCAGTTGGTAGAGCATATGACTCTTCGGCCATTAAAAAAAAAAGTTTCTCAGTTACTCATAATACTAATAATATAGCAAATTACAGAGTCAGGTTTTAATGTTTTGAAGTCCACTGGACTCTGGAAAATAGACATTGAAACAGTAATCATTTTTTTTAAAAAACTATTTCTTGTTAAAAATAATTTTGCATTATGTGAACCAATAAATTATTTTTCTTAAGCCAGTTTGTGTTGGGTTCTCTATTGTTTCCAAAGAGTTGTAACAGTTACACTGCACTATGCCTATGACCACAATCTCTGCTCCTCCCTAGTTTACAATTGTGAATGTTAATCCCAGCTGACATGGAAAAGTATTCTGCATCATTAAATGACAGCTTGTTATCTAACTCTGATAGATGTCTTAGCACACAAATATTACAGAAGAGTAATAAATTCTCATATTCTGCCTTCAGTTGATATATTTTAATCTCTGGAGAAGAAATGACCCTGTATATTTTCTCTTTTGCTTTTTGTTTAAAGATTTTATTTCATTATTTCAATTAAGACAGAAAGCATGAGTAGGGAAGGGGCAGTGGGAGAGGAAGAGAGAGAATCTCAAGTAGACTGCTGAGCATGGAGCCCGATGTAGGGGTTGAATCCATGATCCTTAGATCATGACCTGAGCTGAAATCAAGAGTCCTATGTTTAACCAACTGAGCCACCCAGGCACCCCTTTCTCCCTGCTTTTAGTTAGGATGTCAGGGTCCTTAAGGAACTAAGGTAGATTTGGGGAAAATCTGCTTTTGATGTGAGAAGATTCTCTTCAGTAACTCCACAATATTCTACATACAATTACATTAAAGAACCAGGGAATTTAACTTCTAAACATTTTCAGGAACCACTGTCAATATTCAACACATTATGATAGTTTTTGATGTTTGTAGAAAAACAGAACTTTGACACTCTTTTTTTTTAAGATTTTATCTATTTATTCATTCATGAGAGACACAGAGAGAGAGAGAGGCAGAGACACAGGCAGAGGGAGAAGGAGGCTCCATACAGGGAACTCGATGCGGGACTCGATCCCTGGACTCCAGGATCACGTCCTGGGCAGAAGGCAGACGATCAACCGCTGAGCCACCCAGGCATCCCAAACTGACACTTTTTAATTGATTTGGTAAAAATCTCTGCCTGTGATGAACTTCCAGCTCCATTTACCATTAGCCACTATATTCTTGGAATATGATTTACTGATGTTAATATCAGAGTATTTCATGGTAGTTATGCCAAGACAGACTAAACACTTAGCTAGGAAAATTATATGATTTTTAGTTCCAGGATCTCTTTTTTTTTTTTTTAGAAAAGATTTTATTTATTTATTCATGAGAGACACAGAGAGACAGAGACACAGGCAGAGGGAGGGATCATGTCCTGAGCCAAAGGCAGATGCTCAACCTCTGAGCCACCCAGGCGTCCCTAGTTCCAGGATCTTTACAGTGTTTTCCAACTATACTCCAAAGCCCTCATTTATTTTTTCTTATTGAGAAATAATCAACATAGAAATCTGTATTCATCTAAGGTGTAGAACAGTAATTTGACATATGTATATACCGTGAAATGATTACCTCACTTGGTTTTATTTTAGTTTTGCCAAGATGGTTTTTAAAAATCCTACAGCATGCAAAATATGTTTGCTCATCCCTGTGAATTTCCAGGAGTAAATGATTAGAAATAACTGCTACACTGTAGATATTCAGAAGACTGTTTTGTATAACTCAAAACATATTACTACATTAAATGATATGAATAATAAATCAAATGCATTTATTTGGGTCAGTGAAGCTCTATGAAACTCAAGATTTTGGGTTTGTTTCATGTTTATGTAACTAGTTTTTTTCTCAAATGAGAAAAAGTGGAATAAGAAATTTGCAGAGCTCTATTTGAGCATGACCTAAATTATCCTCTAAAAACTGCTACTTCAATTGTGAACTGCCACGTGTTCTTTTTTGTGATTTCCAAGTGATGAAATATTGAGCTGTATACTTAAAGAAACAGAAGCCAACAATTCTGACTGGAGAAATTTAGGATTATTTATTAGGCCCATTACCCATGAGACAATGAGACTGGTGAACAATGTAAGCTTTTGAAATGTGCACTTTTAAATATAAGAATGAAAAAGCCTATGTTTTTAAATTTAAGTATGATTTAGTAATAGCATCAGTAAGCTTTCTTTTCTTTGTCCCCTTAATGGCTCTTCAAGTATCTAGATAAGGCAAAAGCCTTTCTAAACCAATCACCTATAACAGGTGACAGGTGTTCCTTCTGCTACAAGACATCTCTGTTTAGTCTTTGGATCTAGCCACCTGTCCTTATTTCTTCCCAGCTTAATACTCATGTTTATTGTCACTTCATCATAATATCTTCTTTGCTCCCCAAAAGCCTGCCCGCTCTTGGAACACTCATCCCTCTTGCTGTCTGGAATGCCTACTGCTTGGGGATCCCACTGGCATTCTTCCCTACCAGCCCTTGCCATTCTATTCCCATCCTACTGCAACATTATCAACTAATAGCTGTTTTTTCCAAACCTCACTCATGAGGGCACCTGGGTGGCTCAGTTGTTTGAGTGTCTGCCTTTGGCTCAGGTCATGACCCCAGAGTCTCAGGATTGAGCCCTGCATCAGGCTCCCTACTCAGCAGGAAGTCTGCTTCTCTCTCTGCCCTTCACACTGCTTGTACTCTCTCTCTCTCTCTCTCTCTCTCTCTCTCTCTCTCACACACACACACACACACACACACTCAAATAAATGAATAAAATCTTTTTAAAAAAATTTTTAGTCATTTATTCATGAGAGACAGAGAGAGGGAGAGAGAGAGAGAGAGAGAGGCAGAGGGAGAAGCAGGATCCATGCAAGGAGCCCGACTCAGGACTTGATCCCAGGACTACAGGATCATGCCCTGGGCTGAAGACAGGTGCCAAACCACTGAGCCACCCAGGGATCCCCAATAAAATCTTTTTTTTAAAGTTCCAAACCTCACTCATGGACTATATCTTGAAAAGAACTCCATTTGGTGAGGTGCAGAAGAAAGAAGTTCCAAATAATCTTACTCCCAAAGCTTAAAGCTGTTGTCAGATGCCAACTGGAAGCTCAGCTGGAGCTGTCGTCCATAGGCTTCAGAGCTCCTAGACTCAGCCTTATTTAGGCTTCCTTGCTGCAGCAGCTGAGGTCCAAGCAGGAGAGTTCAAACAGGACAGGCTTTGAGGTGGTCTTCCATTGTAGCTAATTCCAAACCCATTCTTGTGATATAAAAATCAAATATGGATTGTTTGGTTCAGAAATGCATGATGCCAGGGCAGCTCAAAGAGAAAAATATTGTTTGATAAAATTGCTAAACCTAAATACCAAAGGAAAATGTATAACTTATTTTTTTTTATAAATTAATTTTTATTGGTGTTCAATTTACCAACATACAGAATAACACCCAGTGCTCATCCCGTCAAGTGTCCCCCTCCGTGCCCGTCACCCATTCACCCCCACCCCCCGCCCTCCTCCCCTTCCACCACCCCTAGTTCATTTCCCAGAGTTAGAAGTCTTTATGTTCTGTGTCCCTTTCTGATATCTCCCACACATTTCTTCTCCCTTCCCTTATATTCCCCTTCACTATTATTCATAGTCCCCAAATGAGTGAGAACATACACTGTTTGTCCTTCTCCGATTGACTTACTTCACTCAGCATAATACCCTCCAGTTCCATCCACGTTGAAGCAAATGGTGGGTATTTGTTGTTTCTAATGGCTGAGTAATATTCCATTGTGTATACCTTATTTTGAAATGTGTTTTAACAAAGTAGCTTTAGGAAAGAATACCAAGAAACTTCTACCTTGGAAAAGGAAAGGTGGATTAGTTCCTCTAGATTTATGATGGGTTGGTAACCAAGGATCTTGAGGAAAGAACAATCTGAGCTCAAGGGCTTAGTTCTAAAAAAGATGGAGTCAGGATCCCTGGGTGGCGCAGCGGTTTGGCGCCTGCCTTTGGCCCAGGGCGCGATCCTGGAGACCCGAGATCGAATCCCACGTCGGGCTCCCAGTACATGGAACCTACTTCTCCCTCTGCCTGTGTCTCTGCCTCTCTCTCTCTCTCCCTCTGTGACTATCATAAATAAATAAAAATTAAAAAAAAAAGATGGAGTCAATTAATACATATGTCGTCTTCAGGGCCAAAGGGGTGATCCATTTTTATAGGTACGAGGCACGTGCTGTCTTTTGCCTGAGAAATAGCCTACTAGGAAGATGAGGTGGAAAAAGGCCCATGGATTTCCACAAATGAATAAGAGTTCTAGAGTAGTTGCTGATGAAGGTCCTCCTGGTAGTGAAATATTTTGGCTGCAGGCACTGTGAAATATGAACCCAGAAGAGAAAAGTGGAAAAGCCAGCCACAAGGTCTGGGGAATATCCTGGAGGAACTCACTCTCTGAGAATGGTGGCTTCAGAAAAAGAGGATCCCATGGGGTGGGGGACAGGGCTGAGTCTGGCATCTAGTGATATCTGCATGCACCAATACTTCACTGGACAGGGCTGCCAACTCTGGTTCTTCAGAGACCTGAAAGCTTAGGGACTGAAAACCCAACAGGCATAGGTGGGCTGTCAGTGTCCACACTCACTCAAGGTGACAATGGGCATATCACAGCAAACACAAGAGGAAACATTTGTGTTCCAGTGGTCTCAGCACCTCCTGGCTGCCTGGTTCCAGACCCTCCACCAGCACTACATGCCAAGAAGGATGGTTACGGGCAGCCCAGGTGGCTCAGCCCAGGTGGTTTAGCACCACCTTCAGCCCAGGGCCTGATCCTGGAGACCCAGGATCGAGTCCCACATTGGGCTCCCTGCATGGAGCCTGCTTCTCCCTCTGCCTGTCTCTCATGAATAAATAAATAAAATCTTAAAAAAAAAAAAAAGAAGGATGGTTACTTGGGCTTGTATGGCTGGACCTTGGAGGGAAAAATAGCAGGAGAAAGGTGGCATAGTACTGAGGGTTCAACCTGAGAGAATTTTTTTCCACTAAGGTGGCAGCAGATTGCCCACATGTGGCCAGAAAGACCTGGATGCCAATGCTCCTAACTTTTTAGGGCCTCACGAGAACTGCTGGGTTTGAGGCACCTCACAGGACCCTGCATCAACTGGGGAAAGTAACCATCATTAGGCTAGGTCCTATCAAGTCAACTTTGGCCAACTGATAGTCCGACTTAAGTTTTTTTTTAATTTTTTAAAATATTTTTTTAATTTATTCATGAGACACACACAAGAGAGGCAGAGATATAGGTGGAGGGAGAAGCAGGCTCCTTGTGGGGCACTGGATGTGGGACTTGATTCCAGGACCCTGGGATCACACCCTGAGCCAGACAGATGCTCAACCACTGGCCACCCAGGCATCCTCTGACCTAAGTTATTCAGGCTTCCTCCATGCACCACCTGAACTAAAGCCACAGACACTGAAGCATCCTGCTTCCTTGTTGGACCAACCAGTCCTCTTATAGCTAGATGATACAAATTGGAAATGATGCCTACTCACCTGTGTGATTCCTCTAGGGTAGGAACCAGCTGGAGTCAACACACTTCCACTGAATAAACATGTTTCCACAGGTTTTCTGGGATCTTCCAAAGCAGTGACATCAGAGGTTTGAGCTCTGACCAACTGCAGGTATCACTAGCCTCAGAGTTCTGGAATGGAGAGATTGTGTCACATGGCAAGTCTCTGTCAGCCCTGGGGACTCTGCAGCATCTGGAAAGTAGTAAGGTCATAGGTGGGCTTATATATCCTCATTCGGACCACTTACAAGGGGGCAGGTCAGCAATGGCCATGTTTTAAGTTTAGGAGAGGGCAAATGCCCTCTCCTAAAGCACTTGTATGGAGGATGTTCTGTCAGGACAAGTGGAGCCTGAAAAATAGCCTACTAGAAAGGTGAGGTGGAAAAAGGCCCAGGGATTTCCACAAATGAATGAGTTCTAGAGTAGTTGCTGATGAAGGTCCTGATCCTGGAGACCCGGGATACTGAGAAAACTGTTAAGTGCAGGTGCATTCTGGTTCCATTCACTGTATCCAAGTCAAGTGTTGTGGCCTTTGGTTTTGCACTTCAAATGCCATCCCTGCAAGGTGTCAAATTCAGGACTTTTGTGCTGCCAGAGGCAGGTGGCACCACATGCCAGTGTTCAGCAAAAGTAAAATGAGGGCAGCCCCGGTGGCGCAGCGGTTTAGCGCCGCCTGCAGTCCAGGGCGTGATCCTGGAGACCCTGAATCGAGTCCCACGTCAGGCTCTCTGCATGGGGCCTGCTTCTCCCTCTGCCTGTGTCTCTGCCTCTCTCTCTCTGTGTCTCTATGAATAAATAAATAAATCCTTAAAAAAAAAAAAAGTAAAATGAATTTTCGTAATTGCCTGACAATGTCTCAACTGCCAGTCCCTGTGGGACTTTCTTCTATGAAAAGTTCCCAACTATGAAAGATTAGCCCAATCTTAAAGTTAGTCAACAGAGGGGCAGCCTGGGTGGTTCGGCGGTTTAGCACCTGCCTTCCGCCCAGGGCGTGATCCTGGAGTCCCGGGATCTAGTCCTGCGGCAGGCTTCCTGTGTGGAGCCTTCTTCTCCCTCCACCTGTGTCTCTGCCTCTGTCTCTCTGTGTCTCTCATGAATAAATACATAAAATATTAAAAAAAAAAAGTTAGTCAACAGATCTGGGCAGAGTCTAATTACTACTTCCTATTTCAAGTTATACTTTGGTGAAAAGACTCCATTTCAATGCTACAAAACTCTCATTTCAGCTTTTTTGAAAACCTCTGTAGTCTCTACACCCATATGTTTCCTTAGTTTTGAAGGGCAGACTGAAGATAAAGGGAACATGATTTTCCTGGATAAAAGGCAAAAATAATGATTTACAAACTCACAAAACTGAATTTTTCCTACACTAGCACACAATGGGGAATATTTCTAATAAGGTGTACAATATCAGGGTTCTTATTTTATTTTTTTTAAGATTTTATTTATTTATTCATGAGAGATAGAGATTGAGAGAGAGGCAGAGACACAGGCAGAGACAGAAGCAAGCTCCATGCAGGGAGCCCGACATGGGACTCGATCCCGGGTCTACAGGATCAGGCCCTGGGCTGAAGGCGGCGCTAAACCGCTGAGCCACCAGGGCTGCCCTCTTTCTTATTTTCTTAATTTTTTTCAATATCAGGGTTCTAACTCTACTTAGGATACAGGATGACATGAGTGTAAGAACAGCAATGAGTAATAAATATAAAGTTACTTTCACATGTTTTGAAAAGTTATTTTTCTTCTAAAGTATTCAGAATTATCTTCCAAAATCAAAAGGCAAAATGTTATAATTAAATAATGTAAAGACTTTAAACCAAATTATTTAAAGCTGAACAATCTTATTTTTGGTAAAATTAAATCTGATTAAATATTGTTATAAAAAATAAAATTAACAGGGTGCCTGGGTGATTCAGTCAGTTGAGCATCTTACTTTTGGTTTCAGCTCAGTTTAAGCTGCTCAGCATGGAGTCTGCTTCAGATTCTCTCTACATCCCCCTGCTTGCACGTACTCTCTCTCTAACATAGATAGATAGATAGATAGATAGATAGATAGATAGATAGATAGATAGATAAACTTAACATGATTTTAGCATTCAGTGTCCACCTAGTTGCCAATGTTTTTTTTTCATCCAGTTGACAATATTAACAGCATATTTCATGTATATTGGAATTTGGTATACATGTGTAGGACTTTATAGCTAATATGAATAAATGTTTTCACAGCTGTTGCAAATACTGTGCTAAACTAATTCATGAGTAATTCTGGAACCACTTGGTGATGCCTGGGTGGCTCAACAGTTGAGTGTCTGCCTTCGGCTCAGGGTGTGATCCCAGGATCCACGATCAAGTCCCGCATGGGGCTTCCTGTGGGGAGCCTACTTCTCCCTCTGCTTCTCTCTTGCTCTGTGTCTCTCATGAATAAATAAATAAAATCTTTTAAAAAAATTCTGGAACCACTTGTTGAAATATGAAGAGAAGCAATAAGCTGATGCTCCACACTACTAGGAAACGATAAGTGTGATGTAAGAATGGTTTGCACTCATGCTATCTGAAAAGATTTGGCAAAAAAATGTAACTTGTTATGATATCCCACTTAAGTGCTTCTGCTACTCAAAAACTCTCTACTCCCTGCAGCAGTATCCATCTCTGATGTTGGCCATGTACAACTGGGGAGCCAGCAGAGCATCTGGATGTAGTTGCGTTTTCTTTCTTTTTTTCTCTTAGATTTATTTATTTTAGAGTGAGAGAGTGAGCAAGCACACAAGCGAGCAGGGGCAGAGGGAAGGGGCAGAGGGAAAGAATCTCAAAAAGACTCCCCATTGAGCACAGAGCCAGAGGCAGGGCTAGCTCTCATGACCCTGAGATTATGATCTGAGCCGAAATCAAGAGTTGGTTGTTTAAGTGACCGAGTCACCCAGACACCCCTGGATGCAGTCACATTTTCTTTTGAGGACACAGAACAAGAGATGTCGTGAAGTGTTTATCTACCTGAGACCTGCAGGGTAGCAGAATACACCACCCCAAAATATACCATTTTGGCATCAGAATTATTTTGAGCTGAAGGCAACTGAATAGAAGTATAAAAAAAGCTTTCTTCCCTCCCCCTTTTTGCCTAAAAGCAGGAAATAAACTCATAAAGATGTTCCCCCTCTTCTATCCACCAGAAAGAAGTTAATTACCAGAGACAACTCTATACCCTTACCAGCCCAGAGACTGCACCAAAGGAATCTCCATAGCAAACTTTACTAATTTTATGTTCCATTAGTTCCCCCATTTATTTGCTTTCCCACAATTCCCTCCTAGAAACTCAAAGACCTTTCCTTTGTCTTATCACTTCTCTAAACATTTATTGTTCTTTTGTTAAGATGCTATAGAAGCCATGGGACGCCTGGCTGTTTCAGGCAGAAGAGCATGAAACTCTTCATCTCAGGGTCATGAGTTTGAGCCCCACATTGAATGTAGAGATTATTAAAAAAAATAAAATAAAAATTTAAAAAGATGCTATATAAGACCAAATTTTAAACATTCCTTTGAGTTGCTTACCTCTGAGTACTACCACATATATACGCAATTCTCATATTAATAAACTTGCTTTTGTCTTGTTAGTCTGTCTTTCATCAGTCTAATTCACACGGTTCGAGCCAGAGAACCTAAGATGGACAGAAAGAAAAGAACTCTTCCCCCCTCTCCTGTAGATCTTAGCAGTTTAGTGTTTGTGATATGTGGGGGACACTAAAGTGCAGGACTCTCTGAGGTCTAAGAGTTAATACTGCCTTACTGCGTTCCTATGATAATTACCAAGTACAGGCCACATCCAATGGACCATGCAGTAAAAATGTAACCATGGTAAAAACATGGCTTTGGAAAAATGAATGCCCAAATAAACCTCAGCAACCTCTTACGCTGCTATTAACTTAAAACTACCCTGTACTGATTCAAGCTTCCAGATTTCCTTCTGGGAATGCCAGGAACTATGTGGTGCAGGAATCTTCTACCAAATTGTCTCATGCAATATCACCAAAAGCCCATAGCCATTAGGAGGGCATACCACAGAAAGGATGCATTCAGAGTACCTGGCTACTCCCTAAAAAAAGATTTGTACTCCAATGGAAGCCATCTTTCCATGTCAAGTGGACCTAAGACTGCTCCCCAGATGTGTTTTGATGAATTTAACACTTTACTGCCCCAAATCTAACTTTTCAGTAACTGGAAATATAAAACAATAAGGTAATTTCACACTATTCAAAGGAAGTGTAAATTAAAGGCCAAGGGATACAGAATTTGTTTGCATTTGAAATAGAGCCTTAGGGTAGCAGGAGCTATTAAGTAAATAGTACAATTTGAATATGTACTAATGAAAGCAACTCTGTTTTAACATGTAGTCTCTGTTTTGCAGATAAAATACTTTTCCTCTCTGAAGAGAGCTTATAAAAAATAAATTTAAAAAATTAAAAAACTGGGACACCTGAGTGGCTCAACTGTTGAGCGTCTGCCTTTGGCTCAGGGCGTGATCCCGGAGTTTCATGATCAAGTACCACATCGGGCTCCCTGCATGGAGCCTGCTTCTCCCTCTGCCTATGTCTCTGCCTCTCTCTCTCTCTCTCTCTCTCTCTCTCTCTCTCTCTGTCTCTCTCTGTGTGTCTCTCATGAATAAATAAATAGTCTTTAAAAAAAATAAATAAAAATAAATAATTTTAAAAATAAGGAGCTTATAATGCTACAAATGTTATAGTTTCTTAAATTAAAAATAAATATGTGAGATGCCTGGATGACTCGGTTGGCTAAGTGTCTGCCTTTGGCTCAGATGATGATCCCAGGGACCTGGGATGGAGCCCTACATCAGGCTCCCTGCTCACTGGGGAACCTGTTTCTCCCTCTCCTTCTGCCGCTCCCCCTGCTTGTGCTCTCTCACTCTTGCATAAATAATAAAAATAAAAAAATAAAAATAAATGTGTGTATGCACTTATACTTAAGGTCCGAAAAACAACTACCAACTTGTCAATCAATTAAAATACATATATACAGATATGTCTATATACATTTTAAATTTTCAAAAGTAACATCATGAAGCTTCAATTCATAAAAATGTATGAAACATGAAGAATTCATTTCTGAATATTTTGCCTGAATGTATTTATGGATTTATTTAGCCAAAAAGATAACTCACCAGTGTGAATGACTATGTCTGAT